GCATATTTTGTAGCTTTCCAACAATGAATGATATTGCAAACTAGCTCACTTAAAATTATAATTACTGTGTTTTATAATTCAAATAAAGTAATTGTAATCAGAGTATAAACTATGGATAAAGCTTTGTTGGCTGCATTAAGTGAATGCTGTTTTACATACTGCAGAATTGTTTGCAACTCAAAAATGTTTGTTTCATAATATATCTGACATATTAAACATTTTAAGTCAGTTTCCTCCCATTGTCTTTTTATCTTTCCTCTTGCAATACATAAATAATTTGGAAATATGTCTACATGATTATAAAAATTGCATCCTTACATTAATTTTAGTTTAAGCATCTCAGAAGATCACAACTAAGTGTGGCAGCAGTTGTAGCTCATACAAAATAACCTAATGTATTACCCTTTAAATTGTGCTTAAATATCATGTAAAATGCAAGAATAACATGAGCGTATGCATGTTAGACCCATGAGGTTACTCATAGCTTCAACAAGTGCTATATAAATAAACTACGAGGTAATTCTTTCCTTAAACCAGTTCCACTTAGGTATGAGCATTTTAAATGTTCTTTTGGATCTTAGTGATCTTTGGATTTAAGTGATCATTTGGATCAGAGCACTTTTGAAAGTGCTGTGATAGGTGTCTGTTCAAGTGTATCCATAAAATAAACATTTTATGAATATTTTCATGCAAACACTGCAGTATACATTTTGAGTTTTGACCTCTCCAGTTTGTATGAATGATGTGCATAGTGTTACACTCCTTTATTTTAGTCATTTACTCTGAGAACATTTATCAGGTGTGAATTAAAATATGCTTAATAGCATAAATTTTTATTGAAACATCCTTTGTACAAGCTTCATATATTATAAATATGCTACAGCAGAGACATACAGAAAGTATGAATGAATTTAATACTGATAATCTTTTTCACGTCCTTTTAAGCAGATCTGAGGGTTTGTGATTAACCGTTCTAGTTGAAAGCAGGAGTTTTTGTCGAAATCCTCAGTAAAAATTGCACAAAGGGCTAAAAAATCCTTAGAAAATTAACTACATGATTTCAAAATTTTTCATTGTGGATCAAATAATCATCAAAATAGTTCTATATAATTTTCAACAGTGTATGTCATTAAGAAAAAAAAGACCTTTTTATATAAAGAACTAAGCTAATTTTATGTCAGTTAAAACCCCACAGTATTCAATAGTAAATTGAACCCATAGATTACTTATTTCATAATGTGGTAGGTAACCAGTAAAATTCATGATGAAAATGGTCTTTTTCACTATTTGTAGGAAGACTAGATAAAGTAGCATGCCTGCTACGTTTGCTTATTTTATGTCTTTTAAAGGTAGCTATATTTTGCTATGGGCTGAAAAAATGTGTACTACTGCAATCAAAAATGTGTCTAAATGATGCTCTATGTATTCATTTCAGTACTATTTATTTGAAAAAGATGATAAAATTTCCATAGCCAAGTGGGGATGGCAGACAGAAACAGAATGATGAATGCTCACATTTTCCTTTTTGTGTATTTCAATCTCACAAACATGGTGGGCTTTTTAATGAGTGGTGCTTGCTCAAATGTTATATATATATATATAGTACCACAAAAGAATAAGAAGCTATTCCATACAAGTTCTGTTAGTAATTTTTTTGTTTTACTTTGTTAGCTTCACACCCTTTCCTGATCACCTTGTCAAACTAAAATCTGCCTATATACCTTGTGGTAATTTATATTACATAGGTTTACTTTCTCTTTCAGCATTCTACTTTTCAGTGAAGTTGCATTTCCCCTGCCCGTTGACATAGCTTTCTACTCTGTAACAGAACTTAGTTTCAGCAATACCAAACATTACCAAAAATGAGAAATTACAGATGAGGAAGGTGGCTACAAATGGTGGCTACAAATGGTAGTTGTGGCTTCCCACATTCACTATGTCCTTCAGTTTCTTAATCAAACCAGAGTTATAGAAACATGTTACTACCTTTTTTGATCTTATTCAGTAGCACCGGGAAGGCATGTGTCAAAAGAACAACTTCTGATTATCTTGTGTGTGTGTGCATGTATCAGTGACTGCTGTCTACTCAATGTGAGCAGGTCTAGTACTGAACATTGAACTAGCCTGACACAGCCAAAGTTATAGTCTATTTACTTTTCTTTTTTCCTTAATTAAACTTCAGACAAATATAGATGAAGGCTCAAGATGCAGTATAATGATGCAGATTATACATGCTACAGATAAGAAAAATATTTGGATCCTTAATTCTGGCTCCAGCCCATGTGCATAAAATGAACTAAATATAACAATGTCGCCTGTGTTGAGCAGTACACTGGGTCAGAGAATTTTTGTCCCCTATTATGGAAATTCTTTTACAAAGTGTTTGTGAAATGCCACTCAAATAGGAAATAAATAAGGACATCATTTCACACTCAACATATTTATGAAAATAAAAAACACTCAAAAAAAAAAAAAGAAAACAAAAAACCCCAAAAAAAACCACAAACCCAAACCAACAAAATAAAACAAAAAACACCAAAATCCCAAAAGCCCCAGAATAATATCACAAGAATATAAATGACTATAATTGAAGGGTTAGTTTGAGATACATTCTAGGCTTTATTTTCCAGCTTCGTAGCAGTCAAACTTTGCTTTGAAAACTTCAACAAATACTGCAAACTCATTTCAGTCAGGTCTAGACAGAAAACCTCTTGCACAGAAAAATCCTGGTAAGACAAAAACACCAACTGCTTTGATGTGGGTTGATGTTTAGATCATACACTGGAGTAGCAGGAGAGATTTCTCTCCACAGCTTTCCCCATAACTCTGAACAAGCTGCTTAATTTTTCTGGTAACGACTTTCTGTAATGTGATGAGTTGACCCTGGGTGGATGCCAGGTGCCCACCAAAGCTGCTCTATCACTCCACTCCTCAGCTGGGAAAGGAAGAGAAAATGTAAGGAAAGGTTTATGGGTTGAGATAAGAACAGGAAGAAATCCTTCACCAATTACCGTCATGGGCTTCTCTCTCCATGGGGCCAAGGGTCCTGCTAGGAGTCTGCTCCAGCACAGGCTTCCTGTGGGGTCACAGCCTCCTTTGGGCAACCCCCTGCTTCAGCATGGTGTCCTCCACAGGCTGCAGGTGGATATCTGCAACTCTTCTGTAAACCTTTATGGGATGCAGGGGCACAGCCTGCCTCAACATGATCTGCACTATGGGCTGCAGGGGAAAGTCTGTCTAGTGCCTGTACACCTCCTGCCCTTCTTCACTGACCTTGGTGTCTGCAGGGCTGTTTAACTCGTCTTTCCATCTGTAGTTGCTCCTGCATAGTATCTTCTTCCCCATCTTAACTATTATCCAGAGGTGCTACCGCTATTGCTGATGGGCTCAGTCTTGACCTACAGGCTGGCTTTGGCTCTGTCAGACACAGGAAGCTTTTGGCAGCTTATTACAGAAGCTGTAACGCCACCCCCCACTACCATAACGTTGCCACAGAAACCCAATACATCTAGAAAAACATAAGCCATATTATTGTAAATATGATCATTGATAATTTGCCCACTTCCATGAAGTACTTTGGAAACCACAAATACATAATATTACAATAAAAGTCATTACTGTCCTTATTTCAGTATCTAAAAAAATGCTGATACCAATTTTTACGTGTTTTAATAGAAAATTCAGTAAAGCCTTTGTCTTGCGACAATATACACTAAATTTCAGTGTCTCTTTTTGTAGTTTTTTTGATAGTTACATGGTGTTCAAAAGCAGTTTGGTAAACAACATAAATGCTCTTTAGTCAGTCTTCTAAAAGTGGCCATGTTACTATAGTCACTACAGTATAAATAGTTTGTTCATTTTAATTGATACATTACTACATCAATTAAAACACTCAATTTGTGCAAAATTCAACTAGGTAGTTATAGTTTATCCACTGTACATAATTTTAACACAACTATTTATTTATTTATGTGAATGATATAGCATGTTTTATGCCAGAGAATTGCAGAAGTAGTGTTATTATACACTGAAAAAATGTCTTATTTCTCTTAAGCTCATATTCTGTGATGCTTACGGAGGCAAACATAATGTATTATGCAAGTGATGTACTCTGGACATAAACTCTTGATCACATTTTTTCATTAAACACTGAAATCAGTTAAATGTGGTGGTGTTTTTTTTACTAGTGACGGCTTTGAATAAATATGGTCTCTGTAACTACCATTATGCTCTGTAATATATTATCTATTGAATTAGCTTTTAGTTTCTGACATTGTCTCACAGTCCCCAAGAAAGCCTTCTCAGTCCTTTAAAATGGGTTACATTACCCCAGTATATTTAGCCAGATGCTACATCCAGATTTGTTCTTTCTGTTTAATTGAAGTATGTTAAGACTTCCACACTCTCTTGAAATGCATTTGGTGAACAAAAATAATTGGAAAATATTCTTTTAGGATTGAACCCACTTGCTGCCCCTGACCTTGGAGTCAGAGAGCAGTGAGGGCTGGCTGCTCTGGAAGTGAAGGAAAACCAGGAGTCTTACCAAGGCAGCCAGGGCAGGGTCCTCACTGTCAAGGGTCCTGTCTGACAGTATCTGAAACAGGTGAGCAGTGCAGGGCTAATGGAGATGTCCAGGATCACCATAGTACACCAGATTGCCAGTGAAGGCTACAGGAACAGGGCAGATCCAAGGTCAATTCAGGGAGCTAGTCTGAAGGCCAGTGTCAGCATCCAGATAAGCCGGTACATAACTAAGCATGTGCATAGCGCAGATACCAAGGGCAAAGAGCCTCAGCTTAGATGCCCCCAAGAGGAGGGGTAGTTACTACTCAGCTCTTTCTTGAACAACTTCAAGGGCAGATGAGGTTTCTCAGGCCTGCCATGTGCATTGTCTAAATTGGCCCTGAGCTCAGGCAGACAAACCTCTAAGAGGAGCTGTGACTTACATTTGTATTATGTAGTAGGATTCACTCATTCAGTTAATATAATCTGTGTTTCAGGATTTGAGGGCACTTACTGTGAAATTAACAGTGATGAGTGCATCTCCCATCCATGCCAGAATGAAGGTCTCTGTGTGGATGAGATTAACCATTACAGGTGAGGAAAATTATTTGAATGACAGCTATTCAGTATGATGCACAGATGTTTATCATCTAGATAGTCTTCTCATACTTTGCCTGTATTATGTTTGCTGCCTTTCAGTGATGTAAAGGTTTTTTTTGTGGTGTGTTTGACACTGTTACATTACACTCTGAATGTTGTGGGCAAAAAGACATACATGTATACTATCCAGGTGGACTCAAGAACCTGTCATAGGGCTAATTATCATCTCAGGAATCAAAATATAACAAACAGCTGTTGTTAGACCAGTTACAATAACGTTAATACTCTGAGTTGAAGCTAATAGAAAACAGCTTCATGAACAATGTAGTTACAATGGTTATATTAGGAAATCTTGCAGTTATCTAGCTCTTGTTTCTTTTGTTATGATGTCACAATTTCCATGTGTGTCCTGTGAGAGGTGGTTTCAGTCTTCCTCAAGAACTGGCAGTGCTACTGCAAGTCACCTGTATCTGGGACTCTTTGCCAGGAGAAATGTGAAATTTACGGTTGAGGGTTTTCTCACCTTCAGTTTCAGGCCTGCTGGGAGCTATTTTTGTATGTTTCCTTATCATAATTTACTTCCTTTGCAGTGTTTATCAGCTTCCCCAGCCCACATGGACTCAAAAGATTATTGTTTGTAACACCCTGATTATCCCAGTGTGTCACACCCTCACCCTAAGTGCTAATTCCAGAGCTGAAGCTAAAGCATGAGAGGCAGCAGACAACTGGCTCCAGGCTAAGTGTCAAACCAACTGAAAAGGAGCTCAGGTCAGGGCAAGTTCTGAGCCCCTGCACAGTGGGGTCAATACAAAGGCTGTGGCCTTCAACTAATAATAGCAAAAAAAATATTTCCTGGGCTGCAGTCCCTGTTTTTGTGAGGCTTGTTAAAGCAGTTTTGTAAGAACCAGAAGAAAAATCAAACGTGATTTTGGAACCACCTAATTCATACTCCCCAAAATTTGCCACATTTTCCCAAAATCTTTTTATATTAAACTAAAAAGTAACATGGTGAGTGATATCCTTTTCGCTAGGTGCTCCTGCCAACATGGTTTTACTGGGACACTCTGTGAAGCAGAGATAAATGAATGCTTATCAGGACCCTGCAAAAACAATGGAACTTGCCTGGATCTTGTAAACAGGTTGGTTATTACTAAATGAAAAACAATTCTCTGATTTCCTTATGTATAAAATCTACTTATTGCCCTGAGGTTGGATGGGATCTTCAGCACATGACAAAGATTCTGTGCTAAAATTAGGCAGGCAAGTGCTCTTAACTCACCTATTTGTTTTTTAAGTGACCTGAAAGAAAAATAGAAGGGAAGCTGTTTTCAGCACAATTTGTTCTTCCCCCCCTTACCTTTTTATCTTCTTCTTCTTTTTCCTTTATAAATTTGGAAAAGGAGTAAAATAAAGGAAAATTGATCTTCAGTTAAAGTGCTACATCTCTCTTTTCAGTTTCTGACAATGACCTTGTCTAGTGTGTTTACTAAAAGTGTAAGCGAGAGAAAAATTTGTACACTGTTTTTTTCCACAGCACTCTACAGTTATTCAGAGACTTGGGTCAGAAGAACTTTAGCCCTTAAGTCAGTCCTCATGCCTTCAGCTAAAATTATTGTGCACAATTTTTCCAGTGATTTAAAAAAGGAATACGTCAGTCTGCTTGCTTCAGAAATGTGGAAATGAAAAGTTCTGGAGTTCTAGACTGCAGTGCTGTACGCCAAGTGGGCATCTGTGCTAAGGGCAACATCAGTATGGTGAGCCCTGGGGAGCTGCGGCACACCAAGTTGACTAAGGAGAAAAATAACTTACAGCCAAACCCAGGACAAAAGTCTGTTAATTATTTGGTACAGACAAGGATTAAGAACACCAGCCTGACATCAGGACATACATACAGGTTCACAATATTAGAGTAGATCATGCTGTTTATTTCTGTTGACTTACCTGATTATTTTCTTTTCTGAAGATTCATCTGCAATTGTGCACCTGGGTACTATGGGTCTCTGTGTGAGATGGATGTAAATGAGTGTGAAACTTTTCCTTGCTTGCATGGAGGAAGCTGCATCAACAGACTTGGTGGCTATGGGTGCTTCTGTCCACCTGGATTCACAGGTATGGTCAGCTCTCTACCATAGTGGAGAAACCTATTTCACAGGTTTTTCAGGGTTTTAATCTTATAGCAATGGCCTCAACTAAATAATAATTTTTAAAAAGTGCACAGGATTATCATCTCGTTTTTGGAAGATAAATCATTATTAATTCAAATAGAACTTTGATGCAATTCTTGCTAAGTAGCTCAAGATGTTCTTTACATTAAGGCTTGATTTATGATTTCTTTAGTCACCCATACATTCAACTGAAAGATATTAAAAGAGAGATTGCATAGTGTGAAATAAATAAATGTTTTCTGGATTCAGCCACTGACTTTGCTGACCTGTTCGACTGACACTGTTGCATTTAGTGTTAATTGTTGCATTTTTGCAGAACTAATGACAAAATGTTTACTGGGTAGAGATGCAGTAAAATTTCTCTAAAATGGCGATGACATTTAAATGCATGATCCACGTGCTGTAGAACAAGTAGTTCAGACTTACTGTTTTTGATGTATCCAGCTTAAGCAACCTGAAAACACGTAGGGTCACAGGACTCTGCTTGCAGAAATTTTTATAGTTCTCTGCCTCAAGTTATGTTATTTCTTCATTCTTTCTGTATAAAATGTTTTTTCCTACCCATTTCAGCCTTTGATAAATGCCTCATAATTCATAAGATTAGAAAAGGTACAATTCACACCACTGAACAGAGAGGAATGTATTTTCTACACAGAACAAATAAGTACAGTTTTGGAAATATCTATATAGCTGTATATCCTTCTTCAAACCACCACAAACTGTAGTCCACATACTTCCAGTGGAGTGATCTTCAAAATTATCAATGACATTTCAGCAAAACCAGGAAAAATCTATATCATTCTATATCTTAAAACTTTAAAAGATTCCCCCTGCCCCCCAATATTTTCTTCAGAAGGGCTAACTAATAGATGTTAAAACAGTTGTCTTCACCTTTCTGTATACATTTCTGTAAGAATTTCCGATTATATTCATAAAAGTAAGACAGCTGTACCTGAAGGTCTTAAGAGGCTAATTTGAAAAGGAACAAGCAATCTGCAGGTGTGCTTTCTTTTCGTGATTCTTCACTATGGGTTATTCAGTTCGACTTGAATTCTTTAACACATTTAACTACAAGGATAGGATGCTGGGTTTTGTTAGGGAGGTTTTGTGACTTTGTTTTGATTTGTTTTGTTCTGTTTTAATTAGCTGTAGTAGTTGTTCAGTAGCTATTTATTGGTACAAATTCTTTCAGTAAATTTGTAAGAATAGTTGTTTACTATTCAGTGTTAGTTATTTTCTAACAAGGGTGGGGTGATATCTGGGTGTCTATCAAGCACTAAAACATTACTCAAAATTTAGTGATACATTGGCAGTTGCTTAATTAAGACCAGTGATTTTTTCCCTCCCCTTCAAATGACACTATTTGGGCATCCGCTATGCAATGTACCAGTTAGACTAAGTCTGAATGAATAATTAATCCACAAAGTGTTTGTTATAGCAGTTAAACTAAGGCTTTAAAATGAAGTTGCAGTGTTGGCAGGCTCAGAAGTGAGTGAATGTAATTTGATTTCAACACAAGGTCTTCTCAGAGCAAAACATTGCTTTTCCGGATGATGAAGCAAAAAGAGCATGCATGAAGTGTATGGAAAGCATCCAGACCTGTGAAGTAGCTCTGTGATAGTTTGAGGTTTTGCAAATTTTTTCTAGCAATTACAATTCAAATAACCAGTAGCTGTTTTTTTTATATTTAACATTTTTGTTTTTTTATGTTACCTACAATACAAAAAAGTTATTATATTGTCTGAGAATACCAACTTTTGGAATTATAAATAGTAAAAGAAAATAACGTGAAACTACAAAATATTAATGTTCAATGTACTGAATTTATAGCAGTATGACAAAAGTAATTTATTTAACTCTGAAAGGTAAGTGTATTTCAGTTATTTTGTACACTTAGGAACAGCTTTTTTTTTAATCATGGACAAGGACCCTTTAAAGATACATAACAGTGTATCTTTACACAATGATAATTTGAATTTCAGAAGTGTTTTAATGTGCAGAGAAAACTTTAATCATTGACTAGAGTAATTGAAATATAGACTTCCAAATATGAATGGAAACTCAACAAAAATTACAATACATTAAATGGGATAGGCCAAATAATGTTACTATATCTCATTTTGTTTATAAAAAATATTTTAAAAATATTCACTTTCATCAGATATTTTTAATTTTTTTTCTGCTTATTGCATAATTCTAATCTCTAAGCAAAGCAGTCGTTAGACACTGATCTCTGTAGCTCTAAAAATTTGGCAGCTTATGTATCTCTTAAAATTTTAAGAATTCCATAATTGTATTTATTTCGGATTTACTTTACCTTGTTCATAATTTTATTTAATTTTAAATACGTTTAACAAAAATACATTAAAATAATTTATTCACTATTAAAATACAACTTTTCCTCAACACTGCTAAGATAAAATCTACTACTTTCTAACTTCAGCGGACTCTTTCAAAAAGTGATCACAGTTCAGATGATTTCTGTCAGAAAATAATTGACAGCAACAATGGTGTTCTTAAGCCCTAGGTAAGACTAATAAACCCTGGTTTAAGTCCTTACCCCAGATACTTTGGAAAATAAAACTAAGTGATCTGGGAATTCAAGAAACCTTTTCTTCCCTGAAAGTGAATTAATAAAGCAGTGCTGTATTAGAGGAGAAAAGCAACAAAAGTATAATAACAAATAATCAACTTTTCAACAGTACATAGTTGCTTTCCTCTGCATTTCCTTGGGTTTGTTTTGGGGGTGTTCTTTTTGACAAAATACCTTTTACAGATGACTGCATTCCCTCTTCTGCAGTACCCTTCTCTGTATGTTTGGTTGTCATCAATCACACTGACTAGCAAAGCCATATCAAAGGTTCAGGTGACCCAGTGACAGCTTTCCATCCCTAGCTTAGTCCCTGGTTTGTTAATTGCTTTGACTGGCTGCTATTTGCTCCATGAAACAATATTGCTTAGTTCCACTAGGTCCTCTTGACAACACAAGATCTTATTATTCCTATTCTATCAGCTGCTGCTGTTCTTTCATTTATATTTGCTCTTTAGCCGCTACATATATAGTATACATCATCCTTGTTGCCCAGACATCTGTTGTTCCTTCAGATCTATGACTTACGCATACTAAAGCTACAAACTGTCTCCTTACATTAGTTTAACCTCTCACTTCCCAGCATACAGAAACGTTATTAGTTATTCCTAGTTTTACACTCCATTGCAAAAAATACTGATTTATTTGAAATAGCATTAAACTTTCATGTTGAAAGATGCAGGCCTGGAATTTTTTGTGTTTAATGCTTACGTTATGCTATGCTTAAGCAGCATAGCATGAAGTCCCTAGGTAAATAATTAGCTACAAAATTCTGTGAACTCTTCAATTCTCCAGTCTGATCATTTTCATTCCATACATCCTGTCTTTGTATGGGGAAAGTCTGGCCTGGTTTACAGAACTAACTGAAAAAATCAGTGGCTGAAAGACCTAAGTAGAATAGCTCTTTACTCAAGATCACCATTGTTACTGCTTATTGTTTGTACATTGGTGGTAACTGAGTGTTAGATACAACACAAAACTAAAAGGTACTCCTGAGTTACTGAATTGAAAACCTGTTTTGTCTAAATGGTTAGCCATTCATTGGCTGTAGTGATGAATGTTAATGGTTGTAACATGAACTGTTGAGTTTGTACTGCAAATGTTGTAAAGAAACAAGCAACTCTAAATGTTATACTTTGTAATCTGCCAAACCTGAGATTTAATGTACATAGAGGATGGGTCTTTTAAGTAAGGGACTACGGTTTACATCTTTCACCACTAAGATACCGTTTAAATGTCTTAATCAGGGACTGTTTATATGATTCCAGAGTCCTTTGTTTTCATAAATATAAATACAGGAATGTATTCATAATCTAAAGAAATAAAAGGAGAATAAAAGTCTATGTCAGATTTAATTTTGGCTTGGTAGATAAACCTTTGTTGAGAGAATCTGACGATACAGTGCAAACAAGTGGAATTCTTTTGACTGTGAAACTATAAATTACATGGGACTTAATCAGCAATTTAAAATTAAAAGCAAAATAAGGAAATTAATCAGTGAGTATAGCTATATCTGCATTATCAGAAATCAATGTGACGTTGCATTCTGAATGTGCACTGGTACACAGTCATGTAAAGAAAAAAACAAGAAAAAACAAATACGTGTATATTCCGCTGAGTTTGCTATTAAAAACCTGTTAATTAAAACACTAGGATTAATTTCTCTTCAGCTGCACAGAACAACATCTTAAAAGGAACAAGTAATTAAACATACTGTATTATGATCACTTACCCAGAAGGTCATTTCATGACTGAGGTGTTAATCACTTCTTTATAAATCTTACCAGATGAACAACCTTACATCAAATTTTAATCCAGATGATTCAGACATGCTTCAAATGAAATATTTTTCATGTTCATGAAAAAATTATTTTATAATCAAGTATAAAGCATAAGGGTCTGGGTCATTGTGTCTGCTGCAAAGTGGGTTTAATAAAAGTACAAATCTTTTGACTATAGAATTTTTTATAGTTCCTAATTGCTTCATTTGGAAGGATTCTAGGGTTACCAAGTCATTATTGTCTTCTCTGACAGGCATGGTAATTCTCAAATCTTTGTTTTATTTCTTTGTTTGAGGTTAAATAAATAGTTCTAAGATCTCTTGCAAAGACTAAAGTTTTTTTCTGATAATGTGTTGGGTTGACCTTGGACAACCAGTGGACTGCTGCCAGCTGCTAACCCAGTTACTCAGTCTCCCTCATCAACAGGAAAGTATGGCTTAAAGCTCTAGTTAGTAGACTTTGAGTCACTTGAGAGGAAAAAGAATGTTTATGACCTGACCTTTCAGGAGAGGGGACTTGCAGTCTAGACTTGGCCCTTCAAGACAAAAACTACTTGAGGTTACACCTTACTCT